TCATGGCAGAGAACAAGCTGCAAGGCCTCCTAAATCTCAACTTTGGGCTGAAAAATGACTGCCATTTATGATGAGAAAGACAAGCATTTATCATGTAATATTTGTTGTAACTCAGTCTGACATTTTTATTGATATATGATTGAAAACTTGAATTTTTCCTGTAGTACACTACTTACAATTTTATTCTATGTATTTGATAATATTTCCTAGAAAATATCCTCAGATTTGAACACTGCATTGCAATTGAACTTACAGAAAACTCCTAAGGGGAGGTCCAATTATCATTGGTGTATAATAAAACCAGATAATACCATTTAGTTGTACTGTGTCATTACTATTTGTAAAGTATTTAAATAAAATTAATCTTTCAAAAAGTACTCATTTTATAAATGGACTTAAATATGGAAAGTTAGTATTTAAGTCATTTGTATGGAATATTTTTCCTTTGTAACACTTGGCAACCGCATTCTCCAGGTAGCCCACAAATGTCTAGTGCATTCCCCACTCCGGCTCCAGTGTTTACATTAGCAATGGAAACAAACTGAAAGGGAACACTAGTAATTCTAGTAATGGAAAGTATTTAAAATATAAGGTAAAAAGCTTGAACATTTGAGTTTTCTACATCTTTAAAGAAAGTAAGTTTAATATTAGATCATGCAGTTTGAGATCTATATGCTAGGTGGAGCTATGGAACCAGAACAGCTTGGTGACAGGCCAAATCAAGGGTTTATAAAAGCAATATTCATATCACAAATATCCACAAGTTCATATAGCTACTGTATGTACTTTGGCCCTTACTACTGTTGGAATTTTAGCTTCAAAATTATGGCCAAGAAACATTTTGATAGTTCACTGCATACCAATTTTGAATATGGAAGTATTCATAAACAAATTAATATTCACAGCTCAGAACCATGGGACTCCTTCCTTTCACTTCTTGGTGGATGACAATGGATGAGGCTTTCAACTTCTCTGGGTTAGCTTTAGTTTCTCATTTTTAAAAGTGAGTAAGTAACAAGCAAATGCAGTAGAGATTGATCAATAAAAACGAGACTGCATACTTTATTTCAGTGGGGTTGCTTTTCCCCAGTAGTCTGCTTGGACCTTGGTTCAGTCTAATTCAAACTTGTGCCCAAACTTGGGCCAAGTTTTCTAAGTGGTCACTCCAATATTCTTGCCCCTTGGCTGGTAAGAAGTACCTGAGGATAGTCTCTTGGTTATTTATCATGTTAAGCTTTAATTTTTATTTCATATTACGAACTATGATAAACTTCTAAAATACGCTAGCTGGGCCTCCACAAAATTTAAATACTAATGTGAAATAACTAATTTTTAAAAATTTTCTAAGGGTAAAGTTTCTCAAATATGTTTGAAAGGAGATAAATTTACTGATTCTAGCATATTTTACAATCTTGTATACTTTTCTACAGAACATCAACAGGAAGGAAGCAGTCAAGCTATTATTACTTAGGAAGTTTATTAATTTCTTTAACTGATAAGTTATTGAAACAAGTAGCACTAGCTTGAAAGAAGTAATGAATATCATCTAAAATATGTGACAGCCCCTCTGACCAACAGACATTCCTATTTGCACTCCTGTCTCAAAGACTGCTACCGGTACCTTGCAAAAAATCAGTAATGAGACTGATGCATATTTTTAGTTTTTCTAAAAAAGATTACTAAAATTCAATACATACCTGATTTTTTCCAATACCTGGGTAAACACCAAACTAAAAAGGCCAGAGCAGAGTTTGGACATTATTTTGGTTTTTCAAATGGTCAGTTAATTTACAGTGATTAAGAGTGATACATGCCTCAGTACCTTATGTTTTAAGTTTTTCTTCTCTCCATTATCTAAACTTGTGTAGCTGCAAAATTATTATTGTCACTGCTATGTGGAATGTTAGGGAGCGAAGCCGGGGCCTTGCACGTGCTAGGTAAGCATTCTACCACACAGCTACCTCTTCAGCCCTAAAACTCTTTAAAAAAGGGTAAGGTCTCGTGCAACTCAAGACCATACTCATAAGTGAAATAAATCGACTTTCATGTGAAAACATCATATTGTCTCCCTAGTATTTAAAAAAACACTGAAAGAGTAAATAAGATCTAAAATGAACAGCAGACACTGTGAAAGTGAAAGGGGAGGGGGCTGGGGATTTAGCTCAGTGGCATAAGCACCTGCCTTGCAAGCAGGCGGTTGTGAGTTTGATCCCCGGTATCGATAAAAATGAAAAAGACCAAAAAAAAAAAAACTGTTCAGAAGGAAAAAACAACTAAGGTGGGGGAAAGGAGAAAAGGAAGGGAAAAGATTCTATATATAGATAATTTATATATAGAAAAGATTCTATATTTAGATAATTTATATATAGATATATATCTATATATAGATAATTTATATACACTACTAATAAAGTAGTATATAACCAAATAATCATCAGCAAGAACAAGAACAATTTGTGCTTTCATTGTTGGATCATTTTCATGCCTATATCTTATAATCTGAGCAACTACTTTGAAGACAGCAATATGCAATATATGAACCACTATTAATCATTTCTTTGCTTTGAAATTCTGTATCATCATTTCTATTCTTTGTTTTGTTTTAAAATAGAAAAAGGGTAAGATAATGATATTAGTGTGAATTATGTGAATTCAACAGTTGCACAGACAGGATGGCTCTGGTTGAAGCAACCAGTGACCGGCAGTGATTCTTCCTTTATCGTGTTCTATACCAACTTGCTTCCTCTTCGCAGAGGCTAAAGCATACTGAGAAGGTGGTAAGGAATAAGTGCTCACTCCTGTCCCCTGCCTCGGTGGATACAGAAAAGCTTTAGGACAGCAGAAATGAGTTTGATCGGTCATCAATGTTACTGTAGAGATATACCACAAGAAGATGCCCCCAAAGACCACGGAATACAGCAGACATCACTGAGTTCATTTTGTTGTGTGCATGCTTCTGGCTGCTGAGTTACATTGGGGTGATATTCTAAGTATGTAACCACCACCACTTCCGCTCAGGAAGTGGGCAGAGGCCTCAAAACCTCTTCTGTTGCATGAGTTGCTTCTTTATTTCTTCGTTGTTGGAAAGAGGGAGAGTGAAGATGGCCAAGAGGCCGTGGCAGGCCCTGTGGAGCAGCACTGTGTGAGCCAGTGATACAGCTGTGCTGTGGGCCTGGCTCTGTGTTGGGTTCTACAAAACCCTTTCGTCTCACTACAGAGGGACACCAAATGGGTCTCTCTCTCCAAGGGGTCTAATATATTGCTATGCTAAACTTGAAGGGGAAAAAGAGCCATACTTTACAGGTGGAAAAACTGTGGGTGAAGGTGAAAGACCTAGTTGTAACCCAATTTTCAAAAATTTTACCTACTGTTGTTTGCAGATCACAAGGTGGTAGCTCAGTATTTCTGATGTTCCATATTTAAATAAAAGGTTAACAGAAAAATACCCTACAACAGCTGGATGAGTGGGCTGTGTGGGATGAATTTTTTCTCGGTGGTTTATACGTATTGAAGAAGGACAAAGATACAAGTGTCTTCATCTAAGTTTTCGGTCTATATGCTTTGACCTGAGTCAGGCATCAGGCCCAGATCCAGGACAGGTGATGCTGTAGGATGTGAGGTGACTTGTTGATACTCTTCCCAAAGGAGGGTAACTACGTGTCACCAACATTCAGTGGTCCCTTTATCTTATTCTCTGTAGTACGCACAAAATCTGTGTTTTATACACAGACACACACACACACAAGCAACAAACGTGTGCACACACATTATACAAGACAAAATACAAAGGAGGAAAGAACAATAACTAATATAAACTTTTCCAAAGGAGTCTAATTCAGGATAAGAGTTCTCCTTGTTGAAAAAGTAGAAGTCACGTTGTTTTATAGAGGTAAAAGTCAGATACTCCAGCTTTCTACATTTTTTAAATGTAATATTAGCTTCAAAAACCAGCTATTTGAGGTTTACCATGCTTCAAGTGAGTCAAACCCCATTTCTTACCAAGGAGACACACCTGCAGAGCACCTTGGGAGTGTCTGGTTCAGTTCCTATATATGGGAAACTCAGATTTTATCTCCCAACGGAAGTTGGAGAGTGACTAGGGCCACCCCCATTGACCACCGGGGCCCTGTCTAAAGGATCTGGGCTTCTCTAGGCAAAGTCTGCTTTATCTTGGTATTGGTACCTGCCAATGATGCAGGTATCTGTCTGTTGCCATTGGAAATGTTTCCTTTGCTCCTTATTTCTACAAGGCAGAATGCCATCTCCCATCTTAGGACAAAACAGAACTACAAATGGATCAGTGAACACAAGTACACAAGACTTGCTGTGGTGGCATTAGATTAAGGGCAATTGGAAAGACAGAAACAATGTGGTCTGTTTTTCTCTCAAACTAAAATAATAATGAGAAAAAATAAGTGGTGGATTCTGAAAGCAATTATATTTACAAGGATACTGTTGGCTGTTCTTGTAATTGCTTTGCCAACTTCTATTTCTTGCTATTTGGAGGCCACTCTGTTACAATCAAATCTTAATTGTATTTTCAATTTGCTGTTCTATCTGCTCTATTACTGGGATAGGACAGTTTCGAGTCCTTTTGTTAAACAGCAGTTGGGCCACAGCTTCTGCATCACAAGGACAGCTCTTGCACACAAGGACGGCTTTTTCTCATTCATACCTTTCCACCCAGGGACTCTAGGTGCTCACGGGCAGATCTAGTTAATCACCCAAGCATACACATGTAGGACAGGCTGATGGAGAATGTTGCTGATTAGAATTTCCACGGGGGAATAAATGAAACCATCAAGGTTTTGAAAATGGTGAATTTGTGTTTGGACCTGAAGTCCAAGTTTTAGAATTGATATCTTGTGGTTCAAATCAGGAGAATCGCCTTCATGAACACAGAGATTATTTCCCTCCTTCGTTTCTCATGTCCTTTTCAAAGCAAGTAAGTCCTGAAACAGATCTCCCTGGGAAAAGAGCTTGCCCATGCATGGAGTTACCTGGGTCCTTGTAGATGCTGAGCACGCCCTTGAAGTAATGAGGTAAAAATCTTTCCAGTAAAAGCAGCACATCTTCCAACTCCTCGAGAATCCCCACGAGCAGGAAGTTTTCGTTCACGTTCAGCTTTGCACGTTCAAGGGCCCACTCACCAGGCTCCCTTTATGGAGATAAAAATCATTTTAAAATCAGCGATTCATTTTTGAAATGCAGCAGCAACACATGGAAAGTTGATTCCTTCTGTGCGCCACCTCCCCTTATGCATGTCCAAATCTGATTATTTCTGAGGACCAGCCCTGGGCTAGCCTGGTTCAGAGCCTTCCCTGGTCTTTCTGGTGATGGCCTTCCTTTGGTTATTTTCTCCAGGGCCTTGAACTGACTGAGCCCTTCAGAAACATTTATTAAAAGATAAATATAGATCCAGGCACTGAGGTCCTTACAAATGCTGATGGGGATTGATTAAAGAAAGTTATAAGTTTTAAAATATGAAAATTACTGTCACAGTATTTCTGTAGAAATCAAAACAAGTGTCAGTTCATGCCTCTAATCATCATATGCTTTGAAGAGCTAGAGGCTAATTTTTTTTTAATTACTCAGAGGACACAGTTTACCCTTACTGGCGGGCCAGATTTCTCAGTCAGCATTCATGTATATGAGAAAAGCCCAGGACCTGGCCTCTAGGTCTGGCTGCCATTTACCATTTGGGAGAATCTGGGCAAGACACAGTTCTCTTTTGAAAAATGGTAATAATAATTCTTGCCTACCCCAAAGAATTGTAAGCTTGAACAAAGTGACACTTGGAAGAGTTTTGAGTATCATCATATGTGAACTGAGATAAGGTACTATGATTACTCAGCCCGACAAGAGGAAACAGATAATCTGAGAAACAGTTTGGGAAGCTAAGAGTCCTGTTTCTTGAAATAAATATCTTCATTGAGATCAGACAGTAAGACATCTGGTCCTATGTCTTCCCAGTATCTGAAGCAACAAACAAGGAGGTACTTACTATTGGGGTAACCTTTGCAGGGAGGCTGCTGAAACTCAGGATGTACAGGATGAAGCAGAAAACAAATGCTTATAGCCCCAGATTTTGGACCACATACAGACCTTTATATTATAGCGAGCTAAACAAAACAGCACTAACAACAACGTGCCTCATAACAAAGCAGAAATTACAGCATAAACAAACAAGATGTGCTGCCCTTGAGAACTGGCTGCTCCTCGTTGGCCTCTTCAGAAATACAATGATCATCCAAACACTTTGGGGAGAAATGTCCCTGCTGTTAAAACCTTTATGTTTCACCAAGTAAAGATAATAATTCATTGTCGCTATCATTTCTTCTAGTGGATTCCAATTCTAGCTCTACCAGAGCCACCTGGAGAGGTGGTTAGGAGCTCTTGCCTTGCCACAGCCTGTGATTATCCAGGAGTTCTTTTCAAGTACCCCAGTGGTGACCTACAGGATTTGAGCATCCTATACCCCAAAGGCCCTGGCAATCTCAGAAAGTCACTTTCTAAAGGAAGGAATACATTCAAGCTAGGCTGATGCAAAATCACTAGGAAACAGTTTCCTTTTATTTTACTAAGTATGCCTCAGGAAAGAGACCTTTTGAATCTGGGTGTGGCTTTCCAGGTGTTAGACCCAAGGGGATGGCTGAGGCATTGGTGCAGTCGTGGTGGAGAAGCAGGCTGGTGCCTGGCCCTCGGTTCTACTCTCTCATGGGCTGAGAGATAACAGCTGTGCTTTAGGTATACAGAAAGAATCTGGTTGGCATTCCAATTACCCAGCCAACTTGGTGGTTCCCCTAGGCCTCTGAAAAAAGCCTAAGTTTAAATTTCATTATCTATCAGACACTGGGAGTTGCAAGTGACATACCTGAAGATTGCTAGCAAATATAAGTGGAGTTCTGAAAGTTGAGAGAGTACATACAGAAGATTCCCAGAGTGCCAACCTGGTAGGTTAGAATGCCGAGAGTCTGAGGTTAGTGTTTACCTGCATCTGGGATGCTGTCCACAAAAATACGGAATGATGTAAAATAATCTGGGATTGGAACACTCAGGGTAGTTTTCAAGAATGCACTCATTGATATCCTAGAAGAGAAAACACAGCAGTGAGATGCCTTGTGGTCTCTGCAGTGCTTTGTTGAAAACCACAGTGTTTACAGAAGATTAACGCTTAAATTACATGGAGCAGTCTTGAGCGGATGCTTGCTTCTCAACATCTGGTTCTACTGCCAGGTGCACCTCTGGCAAACCAGTTCGGAGAGCAGTTTCTGGGTTGAGTACCTGGTATCCTTGCACGTATCAGTGCTCGAGAGCTTCAGCTGGATCGCAAATCATAAGAAGAGTCTATCCATATGCCCTGTGCTGACCCCAGCAGCTACCAGCCAACAGGGAAGCATAGAGTTAACATTAAAAAGCGTTTGTGGTATGAACTTGGTATGGCTTAATTTGTAATGAATTCTGACTTAATTGCATACCAGTATGGTCATCCCTGCAGCAAAGAGCTTCTTTGTGATTCTGTACATACAACAATGATCAAGTATCAGCAGTAGGTTCCTAAAGGGTTTTTAAATTACTGAGGCACTGTAAAATGATGTCTAGTGTTATAATAGGTTAGAAAGTGACCTAATATGACATTAATTGTGCTATATTAGGATGTGTGTATGTGGACACCTTCACTTCAAAAGCAACAGGGAAAGTCCTAGGTTTTTAATTTCTCTAACATGAAGTTAGTTGTATGTTACTTTTATTTTTTTTTTTTTTGGTACCAGGAATCGAACTCAGGACCTTGCATTTGCCGGATAAGTGCTTGTGCCACTGAGCTATATCCCTGGTTCTAACACAAGGTTGAATATGGTGCCTCTGTAAATAAAGCAAGGGATTAGAATGGCTTGGAGTAGGTGGATAGAAGTCTCAGAACCTACTATTCCCAAAGCAGATGACAGTGGACACTCTGGATCAGATATGCTTGGTTCTCAGGTTTTCTAAGGGGAAAGGAGAAGCAAATTCACAGATTAAACAGCTGTGGAGTGGTTTTTCCAGGGACAATACTGGCAAGGCTGATTAAGGGTAGAGATATACCTCGCACACATCAGTGGAGTTTGAGTCCATAGAAGCCACTTCTTCTGATACGGCTGGCAATAGCTATTAGCTATTTTTCAATTCAAATTGGGAATGTTGTTGTTTAAACAACACGTTCTTTCCCTTTCTTTGGTTATACGCCAATTACACTACACAAGTACGACAGCAAATTCAACTGGAATAAACAGTTGGCAACAAGCACACTTGAGTTTACTGGCAGGGAGCAGAGTTGCAATAAACAATGAATGAATGAGGAGAGGGAAGAAGGAAAGAGCCACGAAACACACACAGACCCACGAAGAAGAGACGAAGCAGCTGCCACCTCTGCTTGTGTCTGCCATGATCCTGTCCCTGCAGGTCCTGGCCTGGAAGCTCACCGAAACTCAGAAGGATGTCACCTGGTTGCTGAGGGGGATCAAGAGGCAAAGGGCTTTAGAAGCCGTTTCCTTCCTGTGATCCACAAATAACCTCACAAAGTCCATTTGTGGGAAGACATAAATTCCCAGTTTAAGAAGGGCAGTTAACCATTCCCTTTCTCTTAGACCAAGCCATATCCTGGGGGATTTCAAAGAATTCTATTTGAGTCCATCAGGTTGACGCATCTTCTTTGCCACAGGAAGATGTAAATAGAAAGTGGCTCTGGTGGGAAGAGTCAGATGAGAGGCCTGCAGCCCACGCATTCAGCCACTCACTGTTTAGCACACAAACAGGTTTGCTGTGTGGCAGCCATGGAAGACCAGAAGCTTTGGGATTCAGTCAGGCTCTGGCCACTTGTGCAGTCCACGTAACTGGGACCAAGACCTTTGGCCAAAGCCATTTCAGCTTCCTGGGAAATGGCCTGGGACAGCCTCAGAGCAGCTGCTTGCTCTCATAGCATCTTCCTCCGCCAGGGCCTCTCAATCTCTCGGAACTATTCGGTTCCCACAGTGCTAGGGATTTTTATATTTGGTTTAAGGTTTCTTCACAATCATCTTTTTATGTTGAACTTTTCTTAGCACACATGTATTTTGAAATGATCACACAACTTCACTTTTTAAATCTTTGCAAGCAGTACTTCTAGAGTAAAATTGCTGGGAAAAAAAAAAAAAAACACCTTAATTCTTATTTCCAAGCTTTCTCTATAGTTGCCATCACAGTGGTGACTTTAGCCAAACCAACCTTCTTGCCAGCCCTTGGCCTATGACTTGGTCCTCTGGTTCCTGAATCTTGACACATACTAGGCTTGACCCTTCAGGGCTGACCCTTGTCCAGCCCTCACCTTCTTTTTGTACTGGGAATCACAGTGGAGCATCTAATCCGAGTACAAATGTATCAGGTCAGTCAGTTTGGACAAGTGGAATGGACATGGCTAAGCCACCTTTTATTAAAGCACACTTTTCCTCATAAAGCCTTATAAGGGCCAAAGATTTAGGCCAGCGGCACTGCATCAGACTGGTAAACACAAGGTCCCAAGTTCAATTCCTGGCACAAATAAATAAATAAATAAATAAAACCTTGCAAAAATTTTTGAACCAGAATTAAAAGAGTTAAGCAAGACTTTTTTAGTGAGGAGATTAATGGACTTGAAAGTGGCAGGTGACCAGATACCTTTCTCTTATATCATGCTTTTATCAGGCTTGCATCATTGATGACACATTCTTTCTATTAGAGATGGGAAGTGTCCCTCAGACCTTCTCAATGTAGCCCCCCTGAAAGCACTGTCATTAGGCAGAGGAATACTTTTCTCCCCCTATTGTAAGTACAGTGTATGACACTGGATCATTCAGCTGTGGCATCTACTTTGGTGGATTTATGGCTGTTGTGCCTAATGGTAGAAATGCAAATAAAGACTTTTTTGGATAAATGAAGTGTCTTTCTATGTTTATTGTATCCAATATCCTTATTCTTTGGGGACCCGAGTTCAGTGGAGCTCTTTAATCCCGAACCAGACACAGATACAGACACAGACACACACACTTGAGATCAAACATTTTTTGAGGCCATTCATATATACTGTAAGATTCAGAGTTTAAAGTTTTTATTGCATTAAACTAAAGACAGAAATGGTCATAGTCTCATGATGCATTGTGACATGAGAGGGATTAGTCCGGTATTCAGCTCAGTTTTTATTAATTTCAGAAGGCTATTTTTAGTTAACTACAATCAAACCCACTGTGCATTTAAACCAACTGTGGGCAGGATCCTGTGCAAGATAAAAGCCCTGCTCCCCGGAAACACCCATGTACTTCTCTTTATATATAGTGTTATTTAGAAAAAGAGTGTGAGGTCAAGGAGTTTTGTTGTTTTTCAGGTATGTGGAAATTTGGTGATTTCTTAGAGGGTCTATAAAATGTGCGAACCCAGCAAAATAAAAAATAAAATGTTAGATGGAGTTGAATTGGCTGACACAGTGGTCACTTCTATTTTTGTGGCAAAATATTTATCAAAGTATTGTTTAAAGATTTAAAAAATTATAAATAACTCATTTCTAGAGATTGTCACATCTATAAATAATGGCAGTCACCTAACGTGTTTACAAAGAACATGTAACTACAAGGAAAATGCTGATATGAGACAATTAGGGTAAAATTATATACACAGTATGACTACAACCTATTTTTAAAAATCTGCATTTAAAAATAGCCTGTAAGAAAATGTAGCAAAATATTTTTTACAATGGTTGGGTATAATATGTAGTGGTGGAATTGTGTCTGTGGTGTCTAACAGCAGAAATGCAAATAAAGACTTTTTTGGATAAATGAAATGTCTTTCTATATTTATTGTATCCAATATCCTTCCTCACTAGGGGTCAGAGTTCAGCAGAGTTCTGTGATCCTAAACTAGAAGCACACACATGAGATCATACTTTTTTTTGAGGCCATTCATTTATACTCCAAGATTCAAGAAAAAAAAAAAAACCCTCAAATCTTAATGAACATGTACTGCTTGAAAAAATTCAAAAGCTTTGTCAAAACAATACATGTTAATATTAAAAAAGAACACAAGCAAAAACCCAACAACAAATATTAAAAAGGTTGTAATGAAAAGCACCTGTTTCTTGCTCTGTCTCTCCTTATCTCCCAGTTGCATTCTCCTGAGTAAGAGCCCCATTGAACTGGATTCTCCATCTTACTAATGCTTGACTTGCTCCCTTGTTTGGTTGGAGCATCTCAGGAAACATTTTTTGTTCTACAATATTCAAGCCAACAATGTTGCTGATGAACATTTTTTAAATATATGTATTTGCCATATTATATTTCTTCATCTGAGAAGTATGTATTCGTCTCAGATGCCCATTGTTGGATTGGGCCTTTGAATTTAAGGGTCTGAATTTCTTCAATTTTTTATACATTCTAGATATAAGTCCTCTGTCTGAGAGACAATTGGATAAAATTTTTCCCCACTCTGTGGGTGCCTTTTCACTCTGTTGATGATTTCTTTTAAAGTGCAGAAGCTTTTTAATAAGATGAGATCCAGTTGTTGATTCTTTGAAGTATCTCTCATGAAGTTTGAGTTTTGTTCATGAACTTTGCCTACATCTATGTTTTCAAAATGTTCAACATCATTGGTTATTCAAGAGATACAAATTAAAAATCACTGAGATGAGGCTGGAGATTTAGCTCAGCAGCTCAAGCACTTGCCTGGTAAGTATGAGGTCGTGAGTTCGATCCTCAGTACCAAAAACAAAACAAAAAATCACATTCCATCTTACTCCAGAAAGAATGACTATCATCAAGAAATCAACCAATAACAAATGTTGGAGGGGCTCTGAGGAAAAAAGGAACCCTTCTCCACTACTGATGGGAGTGCAGGCTGCTGCAACCACTATGGAAATCAGTATAGAGATTCCTCAAAAAGCTAGGATTACAGGTCCTATTTGACCTAGTTATTTCCCTTCTGGGTATCTTTCTGGAAGAATTAAAAATATCACACCAAAGTGATATATACACACTTGTAATAGTTAAATCTTGGAAACAACACAAATGTCCATCAACAGGAATGGATAAAAAAGATGTGATATTTTTACA